GTGAACTATCTAATAAGCAGCAGAATCCCTGTGCTAAAGAGATTACACTCTGAAGCACTGAATGTAGTAAAATGCTGCATTAAATTTAGCAGGTGCTTGGCGTGCATTTATTAAGTGATTATTCCCTGGGCTGGTACTTCCCTCCTCCCTATTTCAAAAACTGAGCTTTTTTTTTTTTTTCATTGACTCTACATCTATCTTTGAGCTCCCTCTCCATTGAAGAAATTCACTGCTGCTCCACAAAAAGACCATACATCAGATAACTGGAGTTAAGAGCTATTTTGAAGTCTTAAGTTGCACTTGTCCTGGCTCTCCATGCAGGAATGAATTTCACTCCCTGTGTATGTGCACATTTGAAGGCTCTAAAATGTTTTAGACTCACAAATTGTCATTCTGTTCTGATGGCTTTTTATTGTGTATGAGGCTAAGCTCTTGAGTCATGGCATTTTGCTGCTGATTGGAGAGGGAAGGAACCACTTCTAAGGAATTACAATGTTTTCAAAATAATTCTGAATAGATATTATGAAAATACATTACATAAACCTACTGAACCTACTTCAATTCACTTCGTCTTTCTTTCTTCATTCATAAACGTTTAAAATAAAATTAGTTTAACTTCACCTCAGATTAAAAACTGAATTTAACTTATTCTCTATCCTCTAATTAACATTGTATATATCTATGTAATACACAGTTGCAGTTATATAGATGCACTGTGCAGAAAAAGCATCCTTAAACCAAGCTCTCTTTCTAGAGCCAAAATAAATAAATAAATATGGTAAATTCAGAAGTACCATTTATTAAACATTATAGCCTTTACTTAGTATTCATGTACTTAATTTCTTTGAAAGTAATTTAGAGTAGCTTCAGTTTTCTTTATCCTTTCCAGAATGTAGTGCCCTAGCATTCATCTCATGTGGAATTTATAAATACAAGATTACAGATTTATGTATAGCAGCACACTTAGCTGTGGATGTTGATGAGAGACAGGAAAAAAAATAAAAATAAAAATTAAGCAACCTAATAATAACAACAAATTTGATTATAATAGCCTTATTTTTTCATGATAATTCATATGACGGAATTTTATGTTTGTCTTAACAGAATTTACCGATAAAAGACTGTGATGTCTGCATTCATGCAGTGAATTTGCTGCACCTTCCATCACCCAAAGCAGTACACTATACTCAAAATTTTCTTCTTTCTTGTTTTAAACATTCTGAAAAACAGAATATAAAAATTCTGTATGTTATTCAGCATTGCTACAGGGGTTAAATTGTTAATGCTTTACTTTCACTGTAGTTTTTTATCAAACTTTCTTTATTCTTTCCCTGGGGATAAACAAATGGACAGCTTTCCTCTCTAGTATTCCTCCTTCCATTACCATCACAGCAGAATGCATCTGAGACTATAATAATTCAGTGATGAAATACAAAATGTCGCAATGCCATCTCTCTTAAAGTGAACTGAGATTTTGTTATGCCATTTTAGGTGCACTAATAGCTCCTAAAGTCCCATGGAGTATCTTAATGTGAATTTAATGAGCTGATAGCATATAAATGACAGTACTGTGAGGGTGAAGGTGACATAACCTTTTTCCTTCTATTTGATGTTTGTCTTTGAAAAAATACAGATCTTTTCAAAACGTACCACATTATTACAAAGTGCCGCATCATTCAGCAAGGAGGCTACTATTGTTTTATCATTTTAAAGCCTATTTTTTTCTGCTCTCTTTATGGCACAGGAAACAAGAGCACTTTTTATTTCATCATTAAGGTAATAAAAATCTCAATAATTTCCCATGAGGAACAGTGCCAATATGTGGCACTCAGGTGCTCGTGGTCATGTTGTGTTGTGCACATCCAGTGACAACCCATCATTTTTAGCATTCCTGTTTGCCCTGATGGCCATTCTAGTAACATGGCATCAGTACAGTTGTGTGTGAATCGCACCTATACCATCCGTCTTTATTTCTCGTGTCATTTTTGTTTCCTCCTATCAAGGATAAGACTAAGAGGTCTACTCATCATTGCTGACTCCCAAACTCAGTATGTCATTACTGGAGCATTGCCATTTATAACGAGTTGCCTCCCTTCGCCAGCCCGCTCTGCTCGATGGTGTCACACCCCATTGTGCGCCCAAATCCCAATCACCTTCCGCGCGGTAATGAGCTGTGATCCCATCAGCACTGGCTTGGATCATCACTGACACCATCACGCCCAGGGGAGGAAGGTACCGACGGTAAAAGATAAATATATTGGTAATCAGATAGCAGCAGATGTATAGAAAACATAAGTGGCAGATTAAGGAGGTAACCGAATGTATTAGGTTATTAAAGTTTGCCAGAGTGTAGCAAGGCAGCTTTCCCACTGCAGTTAGAGGTATTCTGTTTAAAAATATTAATTCAAGTTTAAGGAAGAACATCTTATGGCTTTTTTTCCCCTGCCTTGAACACTTAGGGACGTGGCAGCCAATTATTTGATCACTTCCATGCTAAATACTGTGTCCCAAAAAGAATAATAATCAACTTTCTTTTCTCTTTCACCAGATCTTATAAACATATTTCTAAACAACACATAAATCCCAGAAATTTTAGAAGGTTTTCATTGTTTGCATTTAGGTCAGTCAAGGTGGGCTTTTTTATTTGCTTTACTTTAAAGCATATGTAGGACAGATTATGAATTAGATCTGAAGGCAGCGTTATTTCAATGTTTTTACAGTCCCAGTGCTGCTACACTCAGTACACAGGAGGAAATAAATTAAATTTATAAAAGTTATTTCTTCCACCAGCATAAATGATAACATTTGCTCTTCTGAGAAAGATGTACCTTGGGCTGCATTTGACAAAGGAAAAAATAAATAAATATATAAACAGCTTACGTGTTTCAAAAAGTTGGAATTTTGGCAATCTATGAAATTTGTTTAGAAAAACCTTTTCGTTGCCAGGTGACAAGGCAAAACATATCACATATGCTTAACAACCAGCTTGTACATATTTTGTCTTTCCAAGGTTTCTAGGGCTGGTCAGGCACAATGATGCATTACAGCTGAAGGAGCTTCCAGCAGGGACAAATGTTTGTCTCTTTCCAAAAGAATTTTCCTAATCCTTAAGAAAAACAACTCAATATTTCTCATTGTTTAATGATTGAGTAAGGATTAATTCTACTCAAAATTCATCGTATTACCAGTCATAACATATATCGATGTGCTTGCTGAGAATGCATACTACTGGTTTTCTGGCACATCATGTTTGTTAGCATTTCATGGTATAGTACAAGAAAGTATAAGCAGTAGTTCTGCTAATACATACAAATTTCTTAGAACAGTCTGACATTCTATCGCTGCTCTAGTGTTAGAAGACAAATGTAGGCAGTATAAAAAACTACAGACAACTAAGGATCAATGATAATAATGGGATAAAATGTACATCCTAATACTTACAAAAGCTATGGTTACCATAGTCTAAGCACCTTAGGATCTCTGATATTTGTGTGTTAGCAACATTTAATTTCACTGAGGAACTTTCTCATTTCAGTGGAAATGAATAATTGGTTAAGTTTGTCGAAGAAGTCAGAGACAAAGCAGAAAAAAAAAATGCAAAAATGTACTCAGATTCCCCCCAAATCAGCCATCATCACCAGAGGCCCATTCTTCCCTCTCAAAACTCAGGCCATGCTTGTGAACATTTACACGTATCCCATGGCCTGTAGCTGGAGTTAACGGACTTCATACATGTGAAATTAATTGTGGGGATAATTCTGAAACAATTACCTTTTCTTGGAATCGCAGTCAACAACTATTCTAATAAATCATGGTGCTGCTCACATTATAATGATCATTAGTAATCAAATGCATCTGTATACTCAGCCTGTTTGCTCACTTAAAGTCAAAATATTAAGAGGCAGAGCAGAGTGAAGTGTCCAAGCTCCCATGTGCCAAATGTGCACTATGGACACAGAGGGTCAGTCCACTCACTTCTAAGCACTTTATTGTAGCTGTAGTTGTAAATTGTTTCTGCCATACTGCAACTTTTGATCCCACTCTTTCTCGGAAGGAGACTCATATTCGTGCCTACATACTCTACGTACATACATCATTAAGTATTGCCTTTTTTTGGTCACTCTTTTTTTTTTTTCCTTTCCTTTCTAATTTATGGTGTCCCTCAGAAGAGCATTCAGCATGACTCTTGAAATTAAAATATTTTTTTATTCCTCTTCTTTCTTAAGTATTTCAGAATATTCTGCTGTATTAGCTTTCAAACTGTAGGCATTGTTTTCTTGTGGATGTACTTCATGAGAACACGTAACAAAGTTGGCATAACATGTCATTTGCTAACAGCTACATATTCCTTCATATAATTACAGAATGTCTACATACCATAGAAACAGAATTAAAACCACAGGAATTTAGGTATCAAACCAAGTCTGAAAGATAATCATATCTATAATAACACTTGTCAGTAGAAAGAAATAAATCAATTTTCAAATAGCATCATTGATTCATTTTGTACAGTGAGTTGTTAGTTCTTTATTTCTCTGTGGTAGGGAGGAGCTGCCGTCATGTCCCTTTCCCACCCAGTTGGGCATTGCCTTGTAAACAGGTTGGGTTTGATACTGGAAATTTTTCTTCTCTCCACACCAATCTTCCTCATTTCCCATGTTCTTTAGGGGCAGCCATGAGGCAGATGTCAACAGGGAGCCAGGCATGCAGGGGATGAGCACACACATTGCCCTTCTCCAGCCTGCTACACCAACTCCCACCTACCCCCTACCCCGTGAGGGAATAGGGAGGGGGAAGTGCAGACAGAAAACTCAACCCTAAAAAACTTTTTATTTTATTTTTTTTCCTCTCAATTGTAGAATATAACTTCTTGAATTAGGTATCTGGTAGGAACACTTGTGCTTGCAAATTCCAGTTTGCTCTCCCTGCCGGTAAGCCATGCATGCCAGCAAGCCAATTTCCTAGAATACTCATCAAAAGACAACAACAAAGGGCAATAATGATGGTCAAATCAAATTTATTTAAAAGGAAAAAAAAATACACAAAGGCTTTCTGCGTTACAGTCCAGCTGCAGTATGCTTCTACCTGCTGCCATTAATATTTGCCAGTCCTCTAACGCCTTAAAAAATTCAATTCTGTTGACCTCTTTTGCTTTTTCATTGTAGATTATACCCAGTTGCAGTACAAGGCATCCATTTAAACAGTGTAAACTTACACTGTGAGATATGATCCCAGATGAGGTATTGCCTCAAACAGAAAATGAAAAATATTCCATGCATTTTAAACATGAATCAAAGATCATAAGTTACACAAATGCGTAATACATTTCTGCTATTCTCCGGCAGAAAAGAAAAACAAAACTGGCAGCTATAGCAATTGTATAATGGTAATTATTAGGAGAAATAATTATGCAAAAACCTGTTCAAATTATATACAGGATGGAATGACTCAAAGCGAGAAGAATTTAAAGTGATAGCTAATACTTCAGCAAACCTATCTGTATGGCACCGGGCAGCAAAAATCAGACAAAAAAATGTATCTGCTGAAATCTTTCTGGACTCTGAAGTTTTTTAAAATTGGACTATACACAACTATTCTCACTCAGTGCCTGGGGTCCTGCTGCAGGGATTTCAAGGTTGGCAGTGAAAAGTCTTTTTCCCCAGTCCCTTTGCATGCTAGCTGCACAGGCTGGTTTACTAGGCAGACTCCAGGCCACCCAGGGCTCTCTGCAGCACTAGGGCACAAGTACTCTCCTACACACAGGAGAGGGTGTCTTTACCCAATTTTATTACAAATGGATCATAATCACATATTTATGTTCATTCAATATTACCAGTCCACCCTCAGCTGCAGGTGGGTTTAGAAAATTAAAACACTGAATTAGAGGTGATTAATGGAGCAAGATGCTGCAGCTGAGGTAGGTAGTCCTGCAACACTGAGGTCCAGCCTGAATCATCACCCACCCTAGTAAGACTATTTTTGTCTGTCCACAAAGCTGATACTTCTCATCCAAGACGTTTTCACCTCTGGTCCTGATCACTGTAGCGAGCCTCATCCTGTCACCCTGATATTCTGTATGGGGGAAAATTTCAGTCATTGAAATTATCATCTTTGAAAAGTCAAGGAAGGCTCACCACATCTTCCTGTTTTGTTTGTTTGTTTGTTTGTTTGTTTGTTTCCTAAATCTTTCCCACATTCGAGTTCCTCATTCATTCTGTTCCAGATCTTGCTTCTCAAACACCTCTCCTTATTTTCAAAACTTCTATTTGTGTCATGTCCCTTCCTACAATTAAACCAATGTTTTGAACAACTTTCATCAGCATCCTTTATGGTGACTTTACTACTCAAAAGCCTATTTACAGTTATTATTTTGTTCTTCACCCTATGGTCATCAAATACCAAATCCAGGCATGTGCTTCTCTTTCCTTCTCAAGATACATAGAATGGAAAATGTGCTCAGGGACTCAAGAGAGAGGATTAGTCCATCAGCTCTGATCCAACACATGCTCTTTTTTTGTCAGATGTTACTATGTCTTTGACCTCCTCTTCATGGACCATTTCATTGCATGGTCTGAATGTTAGATCTGCTATCATGTTCACAATTCTGAGTACTGTACAAAACTTACTCCTTGAAATTCTGATAGCCAGTGAAAATGCAGTAAGGAAACTGACAAAGGCTTCAAGATACAACTTAAAATGTCAAAAGACAGAAAAACCATGTTGTGCTGACAAGACAGTCATATACAGTGAAACTTAATCAACTCATCATATCAAGAAAGTTGCTTCTTTCTGTAAGGAAAAAAAAAAAAAAGAAAAAGTTAATTTTATTTTTAGAGGGTAATATATGGTTGTGGTTCCAACTTCTAGGACAGCTCAGAAAATATGACATTTTTGTGCATAGGGAACAGGGGCAAGTGGTTCATATGATTTACTGTTATTAGGAATAGTGTTATTTCCTTCAGTATTTAAATATTTTATTTATTTCTTCAACACACATAATCAGCTCACTGTGTTCTTTCTAATTACATTAGCTTCCACTATACAGTCCTTCAGTGTTACAGCATTATAGGAAACAAATACAGTGCCATAAAAGCAAAAACCCACTATGGACTCAGACAGTGAGACAGTTACCCAAAATTTAAATTAGGAAAGATAATATTCAAATGTTACTTGAAGTAATAATGTAAAATTTTCTAATTTTAGAAATTATGCATCCCCTACTCTTGATTTCTTCAATGCTGTTGCCTGCTGGGCACCTCCATGAGGCAGGGAGATGTGATTATCCCTAATTTAGGGATAAAGACCTGAAGCACAGAGTGCAGTTGATGTGACATGTCTAGGTGACATGCGGAGCCTTGGCTATGTAACAAGTACCATGGCCTTGAGATGAGTATCTATGCAGGACATCCACAGCACCAGCCGAGGAAGCCCTTCAATCTCCATTTTCTATTTGTTTCCTCAAGAGGTCAGGTTAGGACTATTTTCTTTACTTAAAGGGTTGTGTGGCATTGGAATGGGCTGACCAGGGAAGCAGTTGAGGCACCATCCCTGGAGGTCTTTAAGAAACATCTAGATGTAGAAGTCAGTAGCATGGTTTAGTGGTGGACTTGTCAGTAAAGGTTGGACTAGATGATCTTAGAGGTCTTTTCCAACCTGAATTATTCTACGATTCTATGATTTTTATCACTTCTGTCTGCATTAAGCACTCTGGAAGGAAAGTTCATGATTCAATCCACACCATGTACCTTTTCCTGTGCCAAAATTTGGCGGACTCAAGAGTGCCAGTGCCTGATCCCTCTCTGCACATCCTCTTCCCAGGCATATCCTGCTTCACCAAGATTTTGCATGTTATTTCAGCAATCAGTTTAGCAATTTACTTCTCACTCCCCTTCCCTTCTCTGATGTCTCTCTCTCACTGAAAAACACACATAATTCCTGCATATTTTATTTCTCAGATTTCCCTCTTTCTTTATTACCAGTTGCATCTTGGTAGTAACTCAAAGACCATAAACAACAGAAGAGTCTTATTGTGGTATAACAATAAATTCAACTAAAAAGGTAATAAAAATATTGAGAAATAAAGGATAAACAAACAACAACAACAACAAAATTTAAATGGTGTGTGGTTAACATGAAGGCAGTGACACTGGATTATATTATCAGAGATGAATGAAGAAGAAAATGCTTTATCCCACCCACTAGATCATCCTGGTCCCTCTCTATAGCCATAAGTCCTTTTCTGCTGCCTATAAGGTGTCACAAAGGGAACAGGAGCAGTGGAGATACTTGCTAGCAGTCACATGAATGAGACCAAAAATACTGAATGCTATGCGAGCATCAGTGGAGAAGAAACAAACAGCAACATCACAAACTTCAGGGGAAAGAATCTTAATATTTTTCCCTCCACTTTGGCTTTCTGCTGAGTTATGTGGCAAGCTGGAACTGACACTGCATATCTGAGGAGGTTAAAAGAAGGAAATCAAACTGAGTTCAATAAAAGACTGAACATTGTAATAGCAGCAGTTTGGGGGTTATTCATTTGTATTTTGTACGACATACTGTGGACACATATTTTGCTTTCCAATGTACTGAAGTTGTATGCAATTTTTATTGACAACTGCATTATAAAAGCTGCCACAATTCAGTTTGACATGCAGCTTTTGCACAGTGGGAAGATGTGGCAAATGGTTTGTTTTTTGCCTTACAGGAAATTACTGAGTTTTTCAGGACCGGAAGAGAAAGCAACTATTTTTACTTCAATTTTATTGAAAAAGGTGAGTTGCATTTTTTGGAAGAGGAAACTCATTCCAAGAACTAAAGTCATTATATCGCAAGCTATATCCCAAGTCCATTTTTGTAGCCAAGAACTCTCACACCATGTGTTACAAGGTCAGCAGTGAAGCTGCTAGCAATGTTGCTATTCTTGTCTCCTTTGTTAGGGTTAACACCTTCTGCAAAGCATGATCTACTTTTAAGGCACAATATAAAAGTTTAATAGCACTGGTAATTAGTTCCAACAGTGGTGGTTTCTTTGATATCTACAAGGGCTTTAGTTAGGGTCCATAAATTCTATTTCACTTGGGTCAACCATCCATCAGGTGATAACTACTGTTCCCTGCTACCCACCTGGACTTGCTGCAGTGTGAAGCTGCAGTCAACACTGAGTACTGTTTATTCTTACAACCTAACACAATAGAAATGTTTCTTTGGTTTGTCTGGATATTTGGCAGAAAACTTTGGCTTACCATTGGGTCACAGACTTTGCATGAATGCTGTTATGCATATTTTATCCTCATATTGTGAAATGTGTAGCAAGCTAGGTTGCTTGGATAAACTTTACCAAAAAAATGACAATAGCTTAGCAGTGAATGGAATTTACAACTCATGCTTCCCAGTACCTTCACAGCACAAAAACTGTTTATTAGCACAAGTTTTCCCTTTGTATGTTGTGTTTACTTGTTTCCCAGCAGGGTCTGCTGATGTTAATGGACTCACAGCAGTACATTCTACTTCTGTTATTACAGGTCTAATTCAGTCATTAACATTTCATTAATGGACTGGCCTCCTAGCTGTTTGCATGGCTGTCTAGATATTGATGAGCTTTCTAGTATAGAAAACTGGTATTTAAGGCAGACTCTTAAAGGTTTATTAAACTGCTAGTGAATCTTCATAGCATTCTGTCATTTATTTTAGAAGATAAAAGCTAAACAGTTGAACAAATTTACATTGTAAAAGTTGTCAACACCTGAACTGAAAATAAATCGCATGCAAAAGTGCTCAGGAGGGGGAAAAAAAGCACAGATTCCACATGCTCCATTACCTGGATACACGAGTCTCCAGCTCCTGCCTTAAAACTGATGTGGCTCAGCACTGCCAAGTCTGCTGTGCTCTACCTTGGAAGGAATTGCACTTCAGTAGGATACAAATTGATTCCTTTTTCTACCTCACAAGGGTGTTCTGCAGCTCCACTAGTTCACATTTTCAGAGACTTTGAACTGGAGTTTTTAATCCTGCCCACAACCTATTCTGTTGTGAATAACTTTACTGATACCACTGGAATTAGTCTAAGAGACTGTTCAGAATAGCAGAGCAGTAGTTTGGGGACCTTTGACATTACCACCAAGAGGAAGACATCATAATTTCTAGAGTTCAGTAATTTTCTAGCATTATCAACAGTGCAGTGGAATCTAGTTATAGAACTATGTAGGTAATTTCTGTACCCCAATGGAAGGTAAGAATCCTTGTGAAATTGCTCAATGGAGTTATGAGGTGCTTCCTTTTACCACCTCAGCCTTTTCCCTGTTAAAAGGAGAGTGTATTTTGAGGCACCACAGAGGATTGGAATATATTGTATTATATCATATGAGTGTCCAATGCAAGTACTTTGTGAAAATTACTAATTTGATATCATAATTATGCTTGTAATATAAAATTATTAAGCACTGCCATATTGCACAGTAAATGGAACTTATATTGATGTAATAAAATGTATTTCAATTCCATTACAATAACTTTATCATATTATTTAATGGTATCCACAGTTAACAAAAATAAGATACAGCCAGGAAAAGCCCAGCTGATGGGTCCTGTATACTACAATATTAGGTCATAATAGATATAATTTGTGAGCTCTCTTATGTACTTTATATTTCTGAACAACCACAACTTATTTTTGTTTTTGTTAGAGAATGAGTTATTAAAAAGTAGAGGTAGGATTAGAGGCAAGTAAACAAAATCCCTAGAGTAAGTTCCCTTAATAAGTATGGTATTATACATGCCTTTGATTTCTGCTTTATAAATGGAGCTATAAATATTATTGATCCTTAATTCATATTTTTTTAAAGGATCTTGCTAGTTCAGTCAGTCAGTACTATGTCAGGGTGACATGAAAATAGATCTCTTATTACCAAAACTGAAGCTAATTATTTTGATAAATGTATCTATGCTTGAGAAATCAGAGGGTGGAGGGGGTGTAAAGAGAAGAGAAAGAAAGGACACTGTGTTTTCATACAAATATGTTCAAGTGTTTTTTCTCCTCTGTAGAACTGTCACAGCCCAGTATGTATGAACTACTCATTTAACAGTGGGGGAAAAAAAAAATAGAATTATGAGAAAGGATGACAAATCCTCATCTAAACATTTTCATCTAGGCTTCTTTTGTCTGTCAGGGTAAATAAAATGAAGAAACAAACTGCAACTGGGGTAGGGAGAGGGGGGAGCAGTCAGCTAAAATGTCATGACTTGCTTCTCTGCAGGTGTCAACTTGACTTCACTGAAATGGCATACAACTTTGATTTTCTCATCAGGAAAAAATGTTTATTCCCTTTACCAGACCTAACAGATAAGAAACTACTGTGTGTAGCATTGCATATTTTGATATTGTGGATATCTATGTGTAGCTATTATTGAGACCAAGCTAAAAATATTTTGTGTGCTTCATGTTGAATTGTTGTCATGAATTATTAAAATGATCTGTTACATTTTCATTAAACTGGCATTCTTAATAATTTAAACACTGGTCTTTAAAACACTGACTGTATATTGATGATATTCACAGGAAGAAAGAGAACCTCCCAATTATTCTACATCTTGAATATATTTATTTATTTACCTCTCCCATTATGCATTACTATATGCCTATATTAGTTTATTGTTACAGACTATGCTGTTCTACATTTTATTTGTCATTGAGAAATTAGCTGCTTTTAATCTTGCAGTCAGTATTTCCAGTTACAGGAAACTCATACTTTCAGATGGTTCAGGTATACATCATGGGTAAAAGTTCAGTTTACTTTGGGAAATGAGGTAGGAAAAATCTTCATACAAGTGTGTATGACAGTTTATAGCAAACCAGTGGTCCATTCAGATGGCAACCTTCTTGCACCTGAACAATATCTAATGCTAAAAAGGAAAACCAACAGTTAAGAGACATGAATAAGTTCACTAGTTGAAGTCTAACCTCAACAAAATCCTCAAATTTCTTCTCAGCTATTTTGAACAAAAAATCTTTTTTTTTTTTTTTTTTTTCTGGTGACAATAAATGAAAATGAAGGTTTGAAAAGCCTTTTGACAAAGCATTTAGCTTTGGTGATCATCTAAACTTTATCAGTGATTATGTAATATTACATTTTATATGGGAGTATCTAGGACCATTTTACTGCCTTCAGGGATGTGCCTCAAGGATAGATGTTTGAAGAATGGTCAACAAAATTAGAAGCAACTGTTCTACCATTGCATCTTAGATATGTGCTTAACAACTGTATCTCCCACAATCTCTTGAAGACCTGAAAGTTGTTCCAAAATTACTATTATTAATTATAATGATTATATTAATTATAATCATTAATAAATGTTGTTTATAGTAATTATTATTAATAATAAACAAACATATTCAACTGTTATTTAAACTTTTTGGAAGGGGGAAGTCTGATTTATCAAAAAGAGAAACAACTTAATAGGCTTTACACTTTTAAAGCAATTGTGAACAGCTTTCAATGAGGAGATGATATGGATTTCATGATTTTGGATCACAAGCCCTGCAAGATTGCACCCATCTGCACAGATCTTACAGTACTCCTAAATGTATCCTGCCCAGACTTTGACTTTAAGTTTTTGCATTACCTGTGGAAAGTCACTTAAATCCTCTGTGTTTCTGTTTAACTGTGAAATGGGAATGAGAGACATTTTCTTCTTTATAAACAGGACTTCCTTAGAAGAATATGTTAAAATAAAAAGGCCAAAAGTTATTTTAAAATATTATAATAACATTATTTTTAAACCTTATAATAACAACAATGAAAACTGCTTTAAAGTTAGAAGCTATCGCAAAGACTTCAGTAATTATTCAACCAAATTTAAACTAGTGCAAATCTAGCAATGTCAAAGCCAGAAGGTAATATCCACCATCTTCTACCTTAGCTACCAAAATGACAACATTCACCACAGGGCTTTCATGAACTTTCTAAGGATATTTTGGTATGAAAATACAACTCACACATCATCATACTCACTCAAATACTTCCAGTTGAACCTCAGAAAGTGTTGCTTTAGACTTTCCGCTTTTTTGGTTTAATCTCTAGATGAAACACAAACTCGTTTGAGAGCAACCATTTTTCTAAACAATGAAGGCTTTATCTTGTTACTGATCCCTGAAATGATGACCACCAGCAATGGGTTTACAGGACTACAAGAAGTATAAGAAAGTATTCAGATTTCAGGCTGTCAAATGAAATTGAAAAAAGAACCAATTTTACTGTTAAAAGTTCAGAGAACAATTCCATTTCATAAGTTGTTTTTTTTTTTTCTTTTGCTGAAATTAAACTTTCATAAATTTAATTATAGATTTTTAGAAACAAATTTTCTGACAAACAAAATAGTCTGTGAATTCCAGAATAAGAAAAGTCTAAAATACTGAAATGCTTTAAATATACAAGAATAACATATTGAACTTAATGAGAAAATAAGATATTAATTATCCTATTGCAGACATTATATGTATTTGTGAAATATGAATTTGTCAATTAATAAATATGAATTTGTCAATTCCCTTAATCTCTGTGGATGTCATTTGATTACACCACAGAGCAACAAAACAAGAACTGTTTTAAAACACCTTCCCAAAACTGAGAACAAACTCACAAGACTCACAGTGTTCCTATGGAAGAAGTAGAGAGGACAAAAATCAGAAATTCTGGGAGTCAGTTAGTGTTAATGAGACACCGTGATGTGTTACTGATGTAACACCAATACTCATTTTACATAGCACAGACATAGCAAGACTTCAGAATGGTAACTTCAAACATCATGCAAAGTATGAATAATTTTCATTGCTGCAAATCTAAATAAAATAAAAAAAAAGCATCATATTTCTTTCCCACATATGTCCTTGTAGCCTCATAAAACAAACTGTGTTTCATTATATGATTATGAGCTTGTGCATATACATCACGAAATGTTAACTACTGCAGAAAGTAAGAAAATAGATTTTGACATTGGAGAATTATTTTTGCTACTCTCCTGTGCCTTTGGATCAAAAGGCAGAGCTACTTGGCTGTTTAATCTGGCCTGAGTCCAGAACTGCATACCATGGTGAGAGATGCCAAGAACACTGATGCCACATGAAACAGAAGTTATCTTCTAAAAACTCTAAATAATCACAGGACAATTTGTATTTTAACTGATATAAAGAACAATCTTGTTTGTCTTTCTTGCCTGGTCAGGAGTTATTTTCATATAGGCAACTGAATTCTGTTCTTATTAATAATATGTCTGAAATGCTGCGATATCTTCACTACATAGCATTTGACATCCCTTCCATCCCATCCACCCACTGAAACGCATGTTTTTCAGTTCATACCATGCTATAAAGGTCACCAGGTAGTGGTAAAAAATCATAAAATACGTTTTTTCTCTTAGTTTGAAATCTAAATGTATATGAACAAAGACTCTTCTTGTCCAGTTTGTACTTCATCACTATTTAAAACCATCTAGTTAGCCCTGTATGCTTTCTGTCCATTGTAAAGTACACTGCTGTACTTTTAATTAATTCACAATACAGACTACTATTGTTTGGTTTATTATCTTCCTAAAAGGACAGATGATTTCAGATGCACTAGATGTTTAAAATGTTGGAAAAGCAGTAACAAAAGTAAATTTGTACAAAATATCATTACATTTTATGTTTGCAGTTCTGTTTTTATTTATGACATGGAGAAAACTCAACTTATAATTCTCTTTCTAAGATAAAATTCCTCCCTACTGGGTCTGTGAATACCCAGTGTCATAGCTCCTGTTGCTCTGGTTGGGAGAAGACCATACAGATTTTGTAGGGCATCATGCACTTCTCAGTAGTTTTGCAAATAAGTGTTTTGAGTTTTTTGTTTGTTTCGTTTTTTAAACATACCAGGATTAGACAACACAAAACAAGTATCAAATCACCAATCATTTACTAGTGCCTTCTGATCAACCATACCTCATTCACAACACAAGAACAAGCATCCCAAATATCCTGATTAAACAGTCATTTCATGGTTGTTTGCGCCATGTGAATACAAACATTTTCAGACACACTTTTTGTATTTAGCTGAGGGTCCCTGTTGATGAAATGCCAAACTCTCTTATTTAAATGTCAGCAACTGGCTTGTAAATAAAAGTAAATTATTTATTTTAATTTATATTTTCATTTGAAAACTCTCTCACTTACTTATTCATCCCACACTATAAATTTAAGGTCCATACATGCACCCCTTGGTAATTATTAGAATTTACATTCTAAAATGAGTTTTCAATATTTTCTGTGTTCTGTAGTCCTATTGGATATCAGAAGCATTGTTTGAAATGAAATCAGATCCTAGAATTGTAATCAATTATCATATGGACACAGATTCCACTCACTGAAGTTATTAGTGTATTATTTTTCATGTTCAACTGTTGGTGCTTTGAGAACTATTGCTTGTAATGAAAATAACACAGGAATTAGTGATGTGAAATGCTTCCTCAACTTAATTGTTTTTACTACTAAAACATAACATTGTTTCACATTTGAGCTTGCAAAGAGGTATATTACTTCATCTGTTCAGTGGTGACATGAAATCTTAGAATACAAAAGAAGGGACCCACAGTCACTCTGGAAGACAGGAATTAAAATTAAGGAATTTTCCTGATGATATATGAGAAGTAGCTTATAAATAATTCTACATGAGTTTCTCAAGAGTAAAAAGTCTAGCAAAAGAGGGATTTTCTATGTATCATAAAATATAGCAATCAAAGCCCAACCAAAATCCATTTAAATCACTATAAATAAGCTATTTCTCACCTGTAGTATCCATCATCTTTTTACCTGAACATGTTTGCATTTCAGTGCAAATATGACTTTTGTAGAAATACAAAATAGTATTACTGAATGATGTTGCACCATGAGTTTAAACAAAAATAAATCATAAGGAGCTTATTTTATATGCACAGATAGTATCTAACTGGTTTCTGCAACAAACTCTACATACAAATGGCTACTTTATTATATTGCAATTGCTGTAAGTTCTCAGTTTCCACAGCATAACTTCTGGTCAGATCTTTCAGCTCTCATGCTCAATGTATTTTCTTCTGTGCAAAGTGGATGCTAACAGAAGTATCCTGGCATGGTATCACTCTTCAATGCATTGGCTGGGTGTAAAACATGGGAAAGATGCAAGGCTGCAGAAAAGTAGACTCATTAGGAAAATGTATATAGCAACATATCAGAATTGTCCATTTCTATTACCATAAAGATACTGGCAATAAGAGGGAAAAAAAAAAAAAAAAATCAGAGGAAAATTAAAAAGGGGTATTATCCTTTAATGGATAATTGTATACAACTTTCTTTAGACCATAAAATAAAAAAGCAGCTAAAATGAAAGGGAATTACTAGTTGTTTTAATGTACGTTGAAGCAATTACAACATTGAGTGTTTTTCCTAATGAAACTGTGGAAACCTCAACACTTGGAGGGGCATGAAAACGAGATTCAAGAAGATATTGGAAATATAAAGTAAGCATCAGAAGACTTCAAAACAATGCCAGACCTCCCAATCTGCATCACCGTGTTTTACAGCCATGCATTCCAGTAATACATACCAGGCTACACCCGCACTGCTGCCAGCCCCCACGGCCATGCCTGATTTGGGGCATTGTGGTCCCCCTTTCTCTCTGAAACGAGGTGGGAACTGCTCAGCCACTGCAATAAAGGGAATGCTGCCACTTCTTGATGTGTAAGCACAGGGATTTCTTTCTGAGGCAAACACCGGCAAGTGATGTTCCAGGCATTACACAGCTTTTCATCCCTGAATACCTTGAGGCCTCCAGAAAGACACTCTGGGAAGGTACAGAGCACCACACAGGTGGAAAGAGAACTTTTTTTAGCATTTTAAAATATGTTTCAGCCTCAGGGCTGCATATTACAATAAGATTTTCCTTGTTAGCATGTTACCTCTCTTCCTTTGTACAGAACTGTCTTGCAGGCTCATCTACCCTGTCTTCAAGGTTCAAGGCAAATGTAAAAGACATTATCAAAGCCAAGGGAACTGTACGGTTTTGCAAAGCTTTTCTGTACCATTTAAATGAAATATTGCTATGTTTTTTATGGAAATGATATATCTTGAACAGACCCTTAATAATGAGAAATATGGAGGGTGAGGTAGGCTAGTGAAGTTTGACCATTATTAGTGAAACAGAAGACCTGCAGCATAGAAGTTTAAATCCCAAACAATTTTGTTCCCATAAGATTACCAGGAAGAGAGAAAATTCACGTCTCCTGTCTGGAAAAAGAGTCTTACAGGAATGTAATCTGAACTTTTCAGAGTTAAACTTTTGTTACAAATTAGATATAAGATTTATTGAGATGCTTCATGTTTAATAAAATACTCATAACAGCTTGTGATATTTCACAGGATAAATACACAGTTAACAATCTTCATGGCCTTATTTGTATAGCAGATCTAAGAATAATAAATGGTTCTTTCAGTAGCAGCATGACAACAAGTTATTTCAGGTGATAAAAATGTGTGAGATAGGAGTCAAAATGACAAAACTCCAAGGACTGGAGGTTCTAGTGCGTACAGTCCCAAATGAGGTTACACTAATCTGATCATCACTTAAATTCCCAAACCACCTAAAATAAGGAGATGGAAATTTCCACACATTTTCCCAGCAAAATCCACAACCGTTCTTTTATTTCCTGCACAGCCCAAGACAGCTTAATCTTCTCATGTTATTCAAATCTAATAAAAGATTAATATCAACTTAGAATAAAATAATATATAATTATCTGAAGACAAACACATGCAATTATTCATCCTGGCTATGTCCCTCAAACAACACATAAACAGAGAAAGTTCAATACCTTCTTATAAAGTACTTTCTTTCAAAAATACTAAGAAGTTAAAACTCTCAGAGTATATTTGACTACAGAAAAAAACACACATTGCTTTCATTTTTGGAAATGCTGAGAAGGCAGACACTCTTAGGGAGGTCAATGAGACTTACTGATTACACAGTGTTACGGAAAATTAGGCTACTTATTTGGGAACTAAATATGGATTTTAAGAGCATTCAATGAAGTCACACTTCTGAGTATTTTGGAGCTGGCCTAAATTTTTTAAAGAAAAGTTTGAGATGTTGAACAACAACTTCTTGGAAGAACAAAATATTTATTATGTTCTTCATACCAATTAAAGGCAATTCACATAATCAGGAAAAGAAAAAGGAAAAAAAAAAAAAAAAAGGTGATTTGGAGGGGTTAGTTATTGGCTACACTTCCCTTTTTCCTGTAACAAAACATCATTTTGCAATCTACTCAAGGTACTTAGGATGGCCTCTTGTCATCTTTGACCCTTTGGTATCTGGAGGACAAGCGGAAGGTCCACAGGATGGTATTTGCACCACCAGTGATGGCCTCTCATCTGTCCTTCAGAATAAAAAAAAAAAAGGAGTTAACACAGCTTAAAGAGAAGGGACAAAAGAAAAGGATGTAAATAAACACTTTCAGTTTTAAGATAATTGTTAAAAATTAAACACTTTCTACGAAAGTCATTCGCATTGCTTTATCAGGGTCAATTTATTTCTGATGTTTGCCTATCCAAGTCTCGGCAGGAAGCTGAACCCTTGATATTTAGTTGTTTGACTTTCACAATAATAACATAAACTGTACTAAATAACTTTCAAAACCAACAAAACAAAACAACAACAACAAAAACTAGCTAGACATTTTAAACTAAGACAACTGCTATTGCTATCAATTTAAGTAATCACTTTCCCAGCTGACAGATGCAAAGCTCTCCGTTTTCAGATAATGACTTTTCCAGCTGACAAGAGTCAGGGAACAGGAAGTGTATGTGGGGATAAGTGTTTGGGAATTAGAGGACAGCTAAAGTTTGTGGCTACCTGTATTATCTAAACGAGGTTAGTTTACTCCTAATGGTACTTTTTAACCTGAAAAATAATGACAGTAAACATTTTAAAATCATTCTAGCACAGCCATATACTTTCTTATGATACTGGGTAATTTTAAAATGTTTTTATTTTCTGTTTGAAAGCAAAATAATTACATCAGCCAGTAGTTGCAGTTTTCAACAGTGCTTTTGCAAGGCAAGGAGAAATGGTACACATTTTATTGTTTCTGTCTGCACTTAAGCTAAAACTGTTCCCTGATTTTCAGCAGTATTGGAAATTCAGTGCCTCATGACTACAAAAAAGACCCATTATTAGAAATATGGTCAAAGCATAGAACTGGAAAAATTTTTACTCTTTTCATAATATTCACTGTCCTATGAAGTATGACACAGGCTACTAGGCTCTGTTGCCTTATTTAATGGGTTCAAAACTTCCCTTCTTTGAATGCTGGAAAATGCCCATTTTTGGGGTGGGGGGTGGAGGTGAAGGAGTGGTGTCTGTCCAAACTGCCCCAATTCTTCACAGACAGGGCTGATTAAAGAGCCATGCAACCACTGTAACTGCCTAGGCAGTACGCTATATGAGACCTTTCTTGCCCATATTAGACAGCAATGTATTTAATCTTGTGTAGTGTGGGGAGAAGAGGCCACATGTTAGCTCTCCCTGGAGCCGTCAGGAGCATAAAGCTGAAAATCTGATGGCAGTTTCATGATCCAGCCTTTTCCTGTAGACCAACATGTCAGACAGCAACTGCTAAGTTGCCCTAAAATAACAGAATCACCATTATACATTAAAGTAACTCAACCTGCTGGGCTGATCATCATAAAAAGTTATAACCCAACATCATACTTCAGCATTTACCAGAAAAGGAAAGTCTGAGGAACTTCAGCTACAAGTCTGTAAAAGTATCAACATAAGCCAGCACATATGACTGTCAAGCTGATATGAAATGAAATATTTCTTTTCATGATGACAGACTGAAATTTTTATTAGGTTTGACCAAGCCGGAAACTAAATATTGTTGATTTTCTTTTTTTTTTTTTTTTAATCTTGTGCTCCCTATCCTGCAATAATAATAAGATGGTGTAACACACACACAAACAACAAGAAAAAAATCAGTTTTATAAAAACCAAATAAATAAAAATGTACAATTCCTGAGCAGACATATCAGCAGTCTTCATATCAATGATATCAAAAAACTTCCACGAAAAATAGTCAGTTTTTCAGTGTAACTCTTGCTACAGCCTTATTATATAATATTTCTATTTCTTCTCTAGCTACAAACTTTTTTCAAGTCAAACTTCCCACAGTCATAATAATAAATCAAATATGAGGCTTGAACTCAACATCTCTGGTTTTTCTCTTCTGGTTAGAAGACACTGGAGGTACAAAACAGCATACATGAGAATCGTAACACAATATGGAATATAGAAAGAAAATGAGCTAAGTACAGTCATGATGAGAACTAAAGACTGTGAAATCTGATCTCTTAGAAAAAGAGCATATATGATGTACAGAAATAGCACCCAAAAGTACAAACATGTATGAGTTCATATTGCGCACTCCCTTTTTAGTGCAGCTTTCTCACATCTGCACACACAAAACTTTTTTTTTTCTTTTCTTTTGTTCTGTTTGTATAGCTTTAGCATACATTCATTATAACAGTATGTCTTTTTTATTAATCCTACTGCAAGGAGAATACAGAGGTGATTGTGGTAAGGTATGGAGGATCACAGATAAGCTAAGGGAATGTAAAAGAACAGTATCAGACTTTCACAGAATCTATCAAACACAGAAAGTCTATTCTCTCACCCAACATTTCTCACTGAAGCCTGAGGGAGGTCTCACAGCACACACTAATGATAGGAAGTGCAGTCCAAAGCTCCACATATTGTTTTATTTACTTTTTGAAAAATTAAGCTTCATTGAAAACCTGCTTTGGCCTCACACCCATAACATCACCCACCAGAAACTATTACTTTCCTTTGAAACGTGCCTAGTAAACTTTAAAAGGCTATGCCTCCAAAATCAGAGTATATACAAATACTTAAGGGGTTAATAAACTCTTACAATATACCAAAATCACAAGTTTTATACCACAACTCTGCACAATTGGGACTCCTAAGGGAGGAGTAATTGCATTGTAGTACCGTTAAAGTTTGATTTAGGTTTCTCCATCAGCAGAATGAAGTGTGTCTTACTTCTCAGGTGTGAGACTTGGCTGCTCTGCCTTTTGCAATATATTATCCCAACACTGTCAGAAAATGCTCAGCAGCGCCAATTCTTACTAAACTGGGTGTGTTATAAATCCAGTGTAAGCGGGGGATTTCTTATGCCAATAATACTTCTCAACCTTTACCTTATTACCACACTTCTTGGCTGCTGCAAGATAAAAATCTTTTAAGCTTTTTACTGCTTGTGTGTGAAATCTCAGATAACATAGCCAAATGCAGGAAAAGTTCAGGGCTGTTTTATGACTTCTTTTTATCAAAAAGTTTGATCTACAAAGTCTGAATGCACAAATTCTTTGCTGTTGGATGAGGTCAGTGAAACCACACCCATTCCCTCGACAGACCTTCCTTTTCCTTTAGTAGACAACTTCACGTGGGCTACAAAAAATATGCCCTGTCAGACGAGAAACACGTGCCCTCAGATTGAAGGCAATGCCAAGTAAATCAGGAGCTTTCTACGCAGCAGACTTCACTGCTGTGTGTGCTTAAGACACATTATCTGTGAGTTTTGGAGGTGAAGCCCCTCCATAATGAAATTCAGCTGAGCAGGAACTAACCTAGAAACACCAGCAGGAATGCTGAGGGCTAATGACAAGACAGGTTTGGCACAGGGGGATGCATGAAACAAAATCACTACAGTGAAGATTTCCAGAGAAAAATGTTAATCATCTTGTAAGAGGGAAAGTGTGTGACATGAGGAACAGGAAGGAATGGCAAACACATGTCAGGCAGCACACTTTATTTACCTTTCATTAGCATGTCTTCCTAGGAGAAGGTTAAATACTCCAGGAGAGGGATGGGATTTTTCTTATGTTAACTAATTCAGAGAAAAGTGAACGGAGATTTGCTTTCTTCAGCATTCATTGATATTAATTGCTTTATTGAACTAGCTGTGGGAACATGGATTTCCCAATGCCAGCATAAAGGATCATTATTTATAAGCTAACTGATCCCACAAATTCTACACTTAGCTCAACATTTCCGTTGGAAACGCTGAAAGAATCTTAAAAAAAAAAAAAAAAATCATTATATTTCATACTTTGCACTAAAGCACACCAGCTAAATGATACAGGTTTTCCAGGAAAAAGAAAAACAAGTTTTTAAGCCACACATAACAGATTCCAAATCAGCTCTGAAATGCTGCATATTATTACATTTTTCCTCCAATTATTTTTCTTTCTTTCCCTTTTCCCCTGACTTACAGGTGTCCTTAGTTACAACCATCAGTAAAAACAAAACACATATGCAGACTATAAATCTGTATTTGTGTACTGATTCATAAGAGTAAAATATCTTTAGTTCCTCCTTCCAATTTCCTTTCCCTATTCAATTCATAATTGTACTGCAGTATATTGGGTTTAGGCTTTCAGGAACTCATTTTTGTCCCAGAAGGTTGGTTAGCAGAAAAGACTTGCAAGTGTAGGTTCTGGCTTCAAGAAAATACATGTATATCAAGCAGGAGAGATTCCAAGTAGAATAAAAGCAACTAAATAAACACTGCAAACTTTAATTAGAGTGCTAAGTTGTCACTGTGACCCTTTGGAGATAGATATGGATGACTCAGTCCATCAGAGTTCATGTTCAGCAGTCAGTGACATCAAATTATGTTTCTTGGAACCAAGGAGTTAATAAATTCCAAGAAGAATCAACAATGAATGTTAAATTCTTTTGTTCTAATATATCCCAAAAATGCTTATACCATTGCTGCAACTTTGCTGTTTAAAGATCAATTTAGGGACTTGATGTGCTGTTTTAAATCATAGCTGGGCTAAACTTGGTATGTAAATCACAAAGTTATAGATGTTTGTTTTTCTCATATTCCTTTCTCTTTGTATCACAGTTGGATTCCTTCACCAGACCCCCAAAAAGTAATCATTTTTGGCATATTTTAGACACCAAATATGTAAGCTATAAAGGAAGAACTAGGTTTTAATTTAAAGTTGTAATCACTCAGTCCATGCAGAGCTGCCTGAAAAGATGCACAGTGTCCTTTGTGCAGATATATTTGATTCAAAAGATCGTGTTATGGCACAGACTTCAGTTAAAGAACATTCACCAGGGGAAAATAGCTTGGCCTGGGGCTAGCAAACTCCAGGATACTAAACCTGCATTTGAATACCCTTGGCCAGGTGGGATACAGCTAGTTTTGGCTTTTTAATACAAAAAGTATAATTCAAAAAAATGAAATGAAGATAGATATTTGATATAGATATTATCTAAGATTTGTATAGCAAGAGTGATGTGGCCTGTATTAATAGTCAAAGGCTGATCATGATAAGTGTT